TATCCAACCGCCCTCTGCTCCTCGTCCCTGGCCACCCTGTCCCGGGACCCCCCGCTCCTAACTGCCCTCTGGGATCCCACCCCCTTATCTAACTCCCCCTTCTCCCTGTCCTCTGACTGCCCTCCTGACCCCTATCCACATCCCCACCCCTTGACATGCCCCCTGGGACTCCCACTCCCAACCCTCCCTGTTCCCCATTCCCTGACCGCCCCCCCCCAACCTCTGTCCCAGCTCCCTTACCCAACCTCCCCGCCCCCTTACCAGCAGCAGGAGCTCGCAGCCGCGACACCCAGCCAGAGCCAGCTGTGCTCCCCACGCTGCCCAGCGGGGGTGGCGGGTCAGAGCGTGGCCCGCGCAGCGGTGTGGCTGCAGGGGAGGAGGGACCGTGGGGGAGGGGCTGGGGACTAGGCTCTCCGGCCGGGAGCTCAGGGGCTGGGCAGGACGGTCCCGTGGGCCAGATGTGGCCTGCGGGCTGTAGTTCGCTCACGTCTGGTCTAGCAGTAGGAATATACTTCTGACCACCTGACCGTGATCGTGAAATGCTGAGGAAGTCAGAGAGACTTCAAAAGCAGAAGGCGCAATAATAATAATAGGTGATTTCAACTATCCTCCTATTGACAGAGTAAATGTTACCTCATGATGCAGAGACACAATTTCTAGACTCCATAAACAGCTGCTTCTGGGAGCAGCTAGTCCTGGAACCCAGAAACAGAGAGTCAGTTCTTGATTTAGTCCTAAGGTGAGCACATCAGAACTGTTCTTTTTGGGCAACAAATCTGAAGTTCTGTCCTGCATTCATGTGTCAGTAGAAGAAGTTTTAGAACAAATTGATAAATTAAATGGTAATAAGTCACCGAGACCAGATGGTATTCATTCAAGAGTTCTGAAGGAACTCAAATGTGAAATTACAGAACTACTAACTGTAGTATATAATCTATTGCTGAAACAAACCTCTGTATCAGATGATTGGACGGTAGCTAATGTAACACTGATTTGACAAGTTCCCTTACCAAAGGCTCTTAAGCAAAGTAAGCAGTCATGGGATAAGAGAGAAGGTCGTCCTCATGGATTAGTAACTGGTTAAAAGATAGGAAACAAAGGGTAGGACTAAATGGTCAGTCTTCACTATGGAGAGAGATGAACAGCTGGGTTCCCAAAGGAGCTGTACTGGGACATGTGCTGTTCAATATATTAATTAATGAGCTGGGAAACGGGCTGAATTGTGAGGTGGCAAAGTTTGCGGATGATACAAAATGATTCAAGATAGTTAAATCCCAAGAAGACTGTGAAGAATTACAAAGGGATCTCACAAAACTGGGACTGGGTTTCAAAATGGCAGATTAAATTCATTGATAAGTGCAAGTAATGCACATTTAAAAAAAATAATCCCAAGGAGACACATATAACGAGTGGATCTAAATTAACTCTTCCCACTCAAAAAAAAGCTCTTGGAATCATTGTAGATGGTTCTGTGAACACTTAAGCTCAGTGCGCAACAGTGGTGAAAAAGCCTAGCAGTACATTAGGAATTATTATAAAAGGAATAGAAAATAAGACACAAAATATCAGAATGCCACTATATAAATCTATGGTGCACCCACACCTTGAATACTGTGTCCAGTTTTGAGTGCCCCATCTCAAAAAGGCTATAGTGGAACTGGAAAAGGTTCAAAGAAGGGCAACAAAGATGATCCAGGGTATGGAACAGCTTCCATATGAGGAGAGACTAAAAAGATTAGGGCTGTTCATCTTAGAAAAGAGATGACCAAGTGGGGATATGCTAGAGGTCTATACAATAATGAATGGTGTGGAAAAAGTGAATAGAGAAGTGTCATTTACCGTTACCCACAATACAAAAACCAGGGGGTCACCCAATGAAATTAATAGGCAGCAGGTTGAAAACAAACAAAAGGAAATACTTCTTCACACAACGCACAACTAACCTGTGGAACTCATAGCAATGGGATGCTATGATGGCCAAAAGTATAACTGGCTTCAAAAATAGAGAAGTTCATGGAGGGTAGATCCATCAATGCCCATTAGCCAAGATGGTTAGGGATGCAGCCCCATCGTCAGGGTGACCCTGTACTTCTGACTGCCAGGAGTAGAGATGCATGTAGTGGTCAGAGAGTTATAGATGGCAAGACCTCTGGGGATGATGTTTTGTTTCTTGCATTTGCTCAGGAAATAGATGTTGCTGTTAAGTTTTGCTTCCTTGTTCTTCATGTTGAGGTGTTTCTGTTTCAGGCGGCTAACTTCAATATCTTCCATTGTTGTATGCAGTGTAGTTGTAGCTGTGTCAGTTCCAGGATATTTGACATCTAATATCCTGGGACTGACACTGCTACAAAGACGCTGCATAGAAGTCGGGAGTGGAAGACAGGTGTATGTCTCTCAATTTCCCTGTTCTATATGCTCCCGTTGAAGCCCTGGTCACTGTTGGAGACAGGATACTGAGCTAGATGGACCATGGGTCTGACCCAGTATGGCCGTTTGCTCAACCACTGAATTGTGTCTTCTCCAGAGCAAAGAAAGTTCTCTTTGTCACAATCGATTTATCCATTCTGATTAATTCGTTCGGGCTATCATGACCAGGATCATGTTTTAATCTTTTTATTACTATTCCATCCTTGTATTTCCCCAGAAATGTTTAGAGTGCAGAAAGCATTTAAATAAAACATGAACATGGACAAACCTCTCTCACAGCATCTGTGCTAAAGTCACAGTAAGTTGTTGGTCCCTTCTTTTTGTTTTCACTCAACCTGATCAATAATTCGCTGGGGAAATATATACTGGACTCCTTTTAAATAAAAACTACCCAGTCAGTGTATATTAAGGCTTGCTGGTGTTAACAGTGCCCTTTTAGGTCTGATTCAACCTCATAGACTCATAGACTTTAAGGTCAGAAGGGACCATTATGATCATCTAGTCTGACCTCCTGCACAACGCAGGCCACAGAATCTCATCCACTCACTCCTGTAACAAACCCCTAACCTATGCGTGAGTTATTGAAGTCCTCAAATCGTGGTTTAAAGACCCCAAGGTGCAGAGAATCCTAACAGTTTTGCCATTGGTTCTCCCTTGTAATTGTGATGTTTCTCGACAGCTTTCACTCCTTAGCATCAGATTTGGCATTTTATAGTTTAGGAGAGATTGTGTCATCACGTTTGCTCTGTCTGCAGGAACTGAATATCTGTATCTTTGGGTTGCAGTGATACACCTTTCTGCATGCAGCAGCAACCAATCCTCTTTTCCTTCATTGATTATTCAGTGAATCTTTTCATTGTTCTACCTTAGGAAAGTATGCTATACAAAAAATAAACAGGCAATCTGCACATCCTGGAGATTTTGCCGCCATGAAGTGGTGATCTAGGGTACTGAGGAGTCTGAATTGGTTTAGCTACTTTAGATTCTTCTTTGGGGTAGGGCTTTTGTATTCCCCTCCTTTCTAAGAAAACATGTTTTAGGTACTGCCACTGCTCAATAGAGAAATAATTCAATAGCCTGGTGCCAACACATGCTGTTCTGCCTCTAACAACATGGTAGTCTTATAAGAGTAATTATAGATGCTTAAATAAGCCTTCTTGGCTCTCCTGGGAGGTAAATGTTGTAGAATGAGTGCTGTGGTGATGCACCTGACGTCAATCTCTGCCTTGTTTTCGCAGTGACTCTATCACCTTTGAGAAGGCGTACTGTGAGTACAGGTTGAACAGAATTGAAAATGCCCTGAAGACCATTCAGAGTGCCAGCCAGCAGACAGACAAACTGAAGGAGCTGCATGGACAAGTGGTAATTACTGCTTTGGAAACTTGTATCTATCATTCAAGAGCCCTCTGCTTTGTGAGGGCGGAAAAAATCAGAAACTTTTCTCCCCCTCAGCTGTGACTTAATAAACGGTTATGTTCCGGGTGAAAACCCTGGTGAAATCGGTGACAAAATTCCCACTGACTTCAGTGGGGCCTAGGATTTCACCCTCTCTTCTAGTTAGCCGGGGTCTCCCAAACTGTCAGTTTGGGCAGATAGCGCCATCCTTTCACTTGTTGGCTCATTAATCTTCCCCCACTTCCATCCATTTCAGCTTCTAATGAATCACATTACTCTGTTCTGGAAAATGGGGTAGTTTGCTGGAAGCCACCGAACCAAAATGTGCCTGTGCAGCCATACAATTGGCCACTTTCCTTCTCCGCAGGGCTAGAATGAAGTGATTTGCTTGATTTCCATCAGCCAGGGAAGTGGGTCGTCCTGAGGAGAGTGCTTTACTTTCCACTCTGCGAGCCAGGTCAGCTCTTGGTTTAGGACCTAGTTCTGCACATGCTTCATGCACATAGCTCTGTGCCATCAGGAGCAGCTGTGTGTGAAGCGAGCAAGGATGGGCTTCCTTGGAGCATCAGGATTGAAAAGAGGAAGAGAAAAGGCTTTTCCTCCTCCTTTTGTTTCCACAGTTGATTAGAATGATCCCAACATGTGGAAGAAACAGTTGTTTGCTGTAAACAATGCTTGAAAGGTGGTCATTTAATTTGCTCCCTAGAGAGGTGCTAAAGACTGCCATGAAGAGGCTGGCAGAGACCATAATCAACTCTATTTTCCCGAGTAAATTCTGCATTAGACTTTACAGCACTTATTCAAATAAAAAAAAAATATATGGAGATATACCTATCTCATGGAACTGGAAGATCATCACATCCAGCCCCCTGCCTTCACTAGCAGGACCAAGTACTGATTTTGCCCCAGATCCCTAAGTGGCCCCTTCAAGGATTGAACTCACAACCCTGGGTTTAGCAGGCCAATGCTCCAACCACTGAGCTATCCCTCCCCTGCATTCAGGTGTCTCTAGTTGTGGATGCCAATGTGCAGGGCAATGTCTCTCTTTTCAGTTGTATAGGTTGGAGCGCTATGACGACTGCTTAGCCGTGTATCGGGATCTCATCCGGAACTCCCAAGACGACTATGAAGAAGAAAGGAAAACCAACCTTTCTGCAGTGGTTGCAGCGCAGAGCACATGGGAGAAAGTGGAGCCAGTGAGTGTGTGTGCCTGCGTGCACTTGTGGGAGAGATTGTTCCCCCTTCCAGCCTCTCTCTGCTGAACCTTGCCCGTGTTAGAACACTTTTGAAGATGAATTGCGTGGCTCATAGATGGCAGTGGGGGGAAGAAGACATTCGAGAACCAAAATCATTAACAGAAAATAGGAAAACTTGGCTACTATACACAGAAAATGGTAGTCTCTCCCTGTCCCTTGGCAGAGATTTCATTGCTGGGTGTGTAATGAGGCTGGCAGTTGTTTCTCCAAACAGAGGTCACTCTTGTGGTTTATCCATGCATTCAGTGTCCCTTAATGCACGAGTGCATGACTTACTTCAAGTTTCTACTTTGGGAATGTGGACATTGATTGCCAATGAGTCATCTGTCACCTTGCTTACCAGCGTCTCTTTTCTATTGGATACCCCAGCACATTGTGAAGTATAATTTAATTTAAACTACAGTTAACAAAAGTGCCTTTTGCAGTTGGCACTCTGCTAGGTACGTCCTAGTGTTCATGCACATATTACCACACGTGTGCACTCTGGTAATTTACAGTGGGTCTCCAGGACGGTGCAAACCGGCAAGATTCCACTGACCGTGAATGGATGTAAGCTCCTGATTCTACAAAGCCTACTTACATCCAGTAGAACATTGCTACTCTGCACTAGTGACTGGGAAGAGCCATTGCTAGTATAAAGCTCAATGGTTAGCACAGTAAAGTAGTTTTTAAATATTTAAGACTGCAACTTGTCTTTGACATTCTCCAGGGCTGCAGTTTCTGCCAATTCTCTGTCTGCTTAAACAGCCTGGACAGCTCCCCTGAGGTCTAATCTGATTCGCTCCAATTCCTAAGAACAGGACTGCTCTACAGCTGGGAGTTGGGTAGCTCCATTGCAGATTCCCCCTGGCTTTGTCCTGCAGCCTAAGGGGAAGACCACTCCTGCTGTGGCTTTTTAGACAGCACATGTCCTCTCAAGATCACCTTCATGTGTGGATTTCCTAATGCATCTTCTGTTGTGTGTTAATCTAAGAAGTTGGCATGTTGCTAAAAGCTATGATTTGCGTCTGTAGTAATCCTAGAAAAGTGGCTTTAAATAAATCTGTTTAGATTCTGATCCAAAATTAGGCTGTATTTAATTTGTCTTTCAAGCATTTAACCCGATCATTTCACTCCATGTCAGGAAGATCTGGGCCTCCAAGAAGCTACCTACGAGCTGTGTTATAATGCTGCATGTGCATTGATTGGGCAAGGCAGGCTGAACGAGGCAATGAAAAGCCTACAGAAAGCAGAAGGTAAAAACATGGGGGGGTTATAGATCTCTGTGTCACTCATTCTTTGTAAACACATTTAGAGAGAGAACAAGGATTTGATTCTGGATTGAAAGTGGGATTGGACAACTGTAGGGTTCTTTGATTATAGTTTCCATAGTATGTTTGCTAAGAATAGTTGGGACTTGGTAGCACTTAACATTCCTTAAATAACTTTTATTATATCAATAATTTTTAGCTATTGTAGATCAAACTGTTTTCTTATCTGCAATTCCCATGTGGTACATAGCTTTTCAATCTGTAGCTCTCAGCTTGCTTTCCAGATATGTATAGTTTATTGTTTTGCCATCATTTTACAGTAGCAAACTGTATTATAACATCTTAGTCTTCCCTCCCAACTGGTATTTAATTCCTGAGTGCAATTTGGTATGTGCTTATAATTTTGACAGTGCAATCTCTTCACGTTAGCAGAAGTTTTAAAAGCCCTATTTAGTCGTTGTTTTATGAGTGTACTGAAGACTGTAGAGTGCAGTAATGTTCTGAGTTGGGGATTGCCCTATCGAGTGTACTAACTTCCATTTTTCACATTCAGAAAGACTGGTTTTGTTATTGTTATATTTCAGTCTGTCCAATAATATGTGTGGGAAGGAGAATAAACGTTTAAAGTAGAAGTTGAAAGTAGCGAAGAGGAACCAAGTTACAGGCCTTAGGTTTAACATCGACAGCTGCAAAACTGAAAAGCTTGAACTCCCTTATGTTTTCTCTTATTAAGCTGACTAAATATGTTATAGGTGCAGCCAGCAATGCCATCAATACTTTAAGCTACCCAACACTTGTCATCGTAAGGCCCTGTTTTCAGTTGCTTATAACTTTGCCAGACTATAGTCATTCAGAAGTTTTCCAGGCCAGGTGCTTGCCTCAGGCCTGGCATTTTTGGGAGAGAAACAAGTGAAAACCTGCGTACTCAAAAAGAGTTCTGGAGGAGCAATGTCTCCTGCATTCTTGACTTTTTAAAAAATTTCACTGTAGATTTTATCTCTCCCACACGCACCCAGTCATTTCCTTACTTTCTTGCATTAAAAAGTACCCGTGAAACTTTGTAGAAGCCTCACTTAGTATCCACAATGGCACATGATATAAACAAACATTCCTGCCATCGTCCTGTTCTGTGCTTTCCTGTAGGTAAGAATTAACCCTTTCTAAATTTGTCTTTCAAATTATTTTCTCTAGATCTGTGTCGCCAGTCGCTTTCAGAAGACTCTGTAAGTTGTTGCTGTTACTCTGAATAATGTGCATTTTACACCGAAGTATTTCAAAGCAGTGCCCCAGGGATTAGCCATGTGATCACTTGTTAAATTGCTATGCAATATCATACCCAACAAGAGTCACCAATCTGCCTAAATTCATGTTCCCAATACCACTCCTGAGGTGTGAGCTGTCCTTCTGCCTATTGCTGAAATGTAAATTCTTGGGGCCGGACTGTCTCCTGCCTTGCCCCTTCTGCAGTCCCTTACACCAATGCAATGTGGGTGTACTCCTACCACATGAGAGGGATGGGTGGTACACCCACTGCAGAGGTGTTGAGGCTGTGGTGAATCAGGCCCACCATTTTTGTTTCATTTCCAGCACACTTTGGTGTGTTTGTAGGGTGGAGGCAGACTGCACACACGTGGGTTGGGGGAGGGGTAATTTCTATTGTTAAAAGTAGCTCTGCCTTTTGCCCCTATTTTTTGGTTTAAGGTGTGAATGTTTGTAATCGTGTCTTTTGAAGATTTGCTCTTCTAGTGGTGGGGATTGTGACTGATGGTTTTGCCCAAGATCTATGGAAAAAGGAACAGGTCCTCTGCGAAACGCTGAAGCCAGGGAGCACAGGAAGGGGGAAGCTTCACTTCGTTTTGTCTGAATTTTCCTTCAGGATGTGACTGAGGAAGACATTGAGGCTGAGTTGGCCATTATTCACGGTCAGATGGCCTATATCATGCAATTACAGGGGCGTACAGAGGATGCTCTCCAGCTTTACAATCAAATCATCAAATTAAAGTAAGTGCTTCATTCAAACAAGCTCTCATCCTTCCACATGTGACAAGGCTGCTGTCTACTAGCTGTGCCTTTTCATTCTCGTTTGTTCTGCAGGCCGACAGACGTGGGATTGATTGCTGTCATTGCAAATAACATCATCACTATTAACAAGGTATAGAATTGCCCATCCTCTTTCTAAAGCATTTTTGCAAAGAAATGAGAATGAACTCAGAACTCACCATATGCAGAAGCTTCCATTGGCTTTGAGGGGGGGTTCTGTATGCAGAAGGATTGCAGAGTTGCATCTCTCTTTGAAATAAGTACTTGATTTCAAGTGGAAGAAGCACTCTAGCATGAAAGTTCTATTTATAGTCTTGCTGTTTGTGCTGTTACACTGGTATTTCCATTATATTTTTATCCTTATAGGCCCCAGTCCTGCAAACACAGATTGCAAAAATGATCCTGCACATAGATAAATTCTATCAAATGAGTCCCACTGGAGCCAGTCATACTGCTTGCATGACTAGAGTTATATATGTGCCTAGGAATGTGCAGGATCCGGGTTTTAGACGACTGGAGCTTCCAGACTAAGGGGGTGTGTGTGAGAGAGAATTTTTTTCTGGAACAGGATTGAGGGAGTTGGGGAAATGGGAAGATACTGGATTTAGATGTGCTGTGCTTGTGCTTCATTAACTTCTAAAGTGCATTGTGCAAGCTATTAGTGCACATTGTGGACATGAAGCTTTTGTGCTGTCTTCAAAACCTGATGGATGACTACAGTGAAATTTACATCAAGTGCCCAGCCACAACAGTATTTTTATATGTGAAAAGACTATACAAATAGCATAACGGAGGAGTCATTTCTTATCTAGTCTCACTCTACCTCTGCAGTATTGTCATGAGCATTGCAAGCATTGCGCTCAAGATCCTCAAATATTTGCAGAGCCACAAGAAGAACTGAATGAATAGGGAGCATGCCGGTTTCATGGAGGACAGATTGCTGTGGGACACACAGAGAACAATTCAAGGTTAGTGGTGGTGGCTTCAGATGGGGGCACCGATTCTAGGACCAAGAAACAAGCACTAACTGGTGGGATCGCATTGTAATACAGGTTTGGGATGAAGAGCAGTGGCTGCAGAACTTTCAGATGCACAAGGCCAAATTTCTGGATCTGTGCACGGAGCTCACCCCAGCCCTCCATTGCAGGGACACCAAAACGAAAGCTGCAGTGACAGTGGAGAAGCGAGTAGTGATTGCACTGCCGAAACTTGCAACACCAGATCGCTACTGGTCAGTCGGGAATAATTTGGAGCCAGGAAATGCACCCTGAGGGCCGTTGTGATGCAAGCGTGCAGGTCCATTATTCACCTCCTGCTATGCAGGACTGTGACTCTAGGCAATGCACAGGACATGGTTGATGGATTTGCAGCAGTGAGGTTCCTGAATTAGGGTGGGGCAATAGACAACATGCATATACCCATTTTGGCACTAGCCCACCTTGCCACTGAGCACATCAACAGACAGGGCTACTTTTCTATGGTTATGGAAGCATTGGTCGATCACCGGGGATGCTTCACTGACATCAATGTGGGCCGGTCAGGGAAGGTGCAGAACACTTGCATCTTTAAGAACACAGGACTGTTCAGAAAACTACAAGCAGGGACTTTTTCCTGGTAGGTGGAATACCACAGGGAATGTTGAAATACCACTAATGATCCTGGGCGACCCAGCCTCCCCCTTACTCCCCTGGCCAATGAAGCCGTGCACTGGCCACCTTGACAGCACCAAGGAACAGTTCAACTCCCTGCTCTGCAGGTGCAGAATGACAGTTGAATGACAGAATGATTGATTGAAGGGCCGCTGGCGTTGTGTACTCACAAGACTGGATCTCAGTGAGAAGAATACCCCAATGGTTATAGCTGCCTGCTGTGTCCTGCATGATATATGTGAAGCAAAGAGGGAAAAGTTTTTGCCAGGGTGGACGGTGGAGGTGGAGTGGCTATCTCCTGAGTTTGAACAGCTGGCTACAAGGGCTATTAGAAGACTTGCCGAAACTTGCAACACCAGATCCCTGGGCAGACCGCCGATCGAGTCACCATGCCTCGGGCTCTTCAGACTACCCCTCCACACGAGTCGGTGCAAGTGGAAGAGATCATTCTTCCTTCCATGCCGGACACCTTCGAGGTGGTGAGAGCCCTCATAGAGATGACGGCTCCGGTGCCTCCGGCCTTGACACCAGCCCCAATTCGGGTCCCGGTGCCATCCAAGGGCAAACCAGCGATGTTCCGGCTGTCAGCCTCCGGACCAGCATCTCAACCCCACTCCGAGTCCCGGCTCCCTTCTGAGTCCCGGCACCGCCACAGGTCTTGGTTTGACTCACAGCACCGGTCTGACTCATGGCACTGGTCCTGCGGTCTCGAACCTCGGAGCCGCTCACGCTCGAGGTCGTTGTCAACTGCGCATTCATGGTCCCGCTCGAGGTCCAGATCTCGATCTATGACCTTGCGGCACTGCTCGCTCCGGCATACTGCGGGTTCCTGCTCTCCGAGTCAGCGATCGCCACAGCGGCACCGCTCTCCAGATCGACACTGCTCCTGGTTGCGGCACCGCTAATCATCACGGCACCGCTCTCCACGTTGGCACTGTTCAACGTCGCAGCACCGTTCAACGTCGTGACACCGCTCGCCAGCTCAGCACCACTCGCCATCGTGGCACCGGTCACGGTCACGATCAGCCTCACGGTGCCGATCACCGCGTGACTCGCACCTGCCAAGATACTCGGTGCCTGCGTTGATCCACTCCCGCACCGCCCTCCCTTGGCCGTTGCGGTCTAGATCTCCTTCGCCCAGGTCGGAGAGGGCATCTGGGGTCTCGGACATTCCTCACTCTGGCTCAGGAAGCCTAGGTCAGGTCCCTCCAGCGACTCACTGGCAACCCCAGTGGCAATTTTAGACACCTTGGGCATACCATCAAGCCCAGGGCGCTCCCCCAGTTGCCCGGCCACCGTCTCGCTCAACCAACAGGCCTCCTGAGGCAACCCTTAGCCGCCCTCCTCCTGACACGGATCAAGCTGTACACTCAGCGCCTCTGACAGAGGCTACTCCAGCTGCCAAGGAGGAGCCACCCACGTCTGATCAGGATGTTCCATCCGCACCTGTTCTGCCGGTGGAGTCATTCTCATCCTCCCCTGACGAGGCTGTGGCTGGCACGTCCATCTCTGGACCACCCCCTATGGGCTTTAGGGTCCTCCAGGAGCTGTTGAGGCACGTGGCCCTCAATATGAACCTCCAAATTGAGGAGGTTGTGGAGGACGAGAACCCCATGGTGGACATTCTAGGCCCAGAAGGACCCTCCAGGGTGGCCCTTCCCATGAACAAAACTGTACAAAACAATGCGAAGACCCTCTGGCAAACCCTGGCCTCCATTCCCCCCACAGCTAAGGGAGTGGAACGGAAGTACTTTGTTCCCACCAGGGGTTATGAGTACCTGTTTACCCACCCCGCCCCATGTTCGCTGGTGGTGGACGTGGTAAATGCCAGGGAGAGACAGGGCCAGCAGGGGCCTGCTCCCAAATCAAAGGACGTGAAACGGCTGGACCCTTTTGGGAGAAAGGTTTATTCCACTGGGGGTCTCTCGCTGCAGATCGCTAACCAGCTGGCGATCCTCAGCAGGTACAATTTTAATTCTTGGTCTGCGGCCCTTAAGTTTCAAGATCTTCTCCCAGCAGAGGCTTGTACGGGACTGGGCGCCATTGCTGAAGAGGGTAAGCTGGTTGCTAGGACTTCCCTCCAGGGTTCCCTCGATGCGGCGGACGCGGCTGCGCATACCCTGGCGTCGGGAATCGCTGTGCGGCGGAATGCCTGGCTTCAGTCCTCCGGCCTCCTGCCTGAGGTCCAGCATACCATTCAGGACCTCCCTTTTGATGGCCAGGGCTTGTTTGTAGATCAAACTGACTCCCGCCTGCATACCTTAAAGGACACGAGAAACACCATTAAGTCCTTGGGTATGCATACCCCGGTTACCCAGAGGAAGCCCTTTAGGCCACAGACCACCCAGCAACGTCCTTTCCCTCCAAGACAGAGGCAGGACCCTTCTTGTTGGAGGAACAGATACTCCCGACATAGGCCGTCTCGCCCCCCTTCTGGACAAGGTCAAGGACAGTCTAAGCCACCGCCGGGCCCTAAGCGCCCATTTTGAAGGTGCGCCAGAGGACGGACTACCAGTTCTCACCCAGGACAGTCATCCCTTTCTAAACCGTCTATCCCGTTTCTACCATGCCTGGTCCCATATTACCTCGGACTGTTGGGTCCTCCGCACGGTGCAAATGGGATATTCTATCCAATTCCATTCCAACTCGCCCTCCCACACCCCCTCCAGGGACCCTTCTCACGAGCAACTCCTCATCCAGGAGGTTCAGTCCCTCCTCACCCTGGGGGCAGTGGAGGAAGTTCCTCAGGAGCTCAGGGGCAAGGGTTTTCTACTCCCGCTACTTCCTTGTCCCCAAGGCAAAGGGAGGCCTAAGACCTATTCGGGACCTCAGGAAGCTCAACAAGTACATCGTCAACCTGAAGTTCCGTATGGTCTCCTTAGCCACCATCATCCCTTCCCTGGAGACCGGTATGCCGCCCTCGATATGAAAGACGCATACTTTCACATTTCAGTTGTCCCGCCTCACAGGTGTTTCCTCCGCTTTGTGGTGGGAAAGACGCACTATCAATTCACAGCCCTCCCGTTTGGCTTGTGCACAGCCCCCCGCGTCTTTACCAAGTGCATGGTGGTCGTGGCTGCTTTCCTCCGCCGACACCATGTACGTGTCTTCCCGTACCTGGACGACTGGCTCCTACGGGGTCGGTCCCATCATCACGTGCAGTCGCAGGTACGTCTACTCCTGGACACATTCAGTCGCCTGGGCATCATGGTAAACCTTAGCAAGTCCGTCCTCGCCCCTACTCAAACAATAGAGTTTATAGGCGCGGTACTGGACGCAAACCAAGCGAGGGCTTTCCTTCCAGAGGCACGGCACTTTGCCATAGCAGGCATAATTACCAGCCTCTGCAAGTTTCCCACCACTACAGCAAGATAGTGTGTCAGGCTCCTGGGTCACATGGCGTCCTGCACATACGTTGTGCAACTCGCCAGGCTCAGGCTCAGGCCGCGTCAGACGTGGCTGGCGTCTGCCTATCGACCGGGACGCGACAGCCTAGACATGGTCCTCACGGTCCCGAAGTGCACACTCGACTCCCTGCTGTGGTGGCTGGACCCTCAGATGGTGGATCTTTAGTTACAAACGCATCTGCCCTGGTATGGGGAGCCCACCTCGGCAGCCTGCCAACGCAGGGCTTATGGCACGAGAGCGAGCTGTCGCTGCACATCAACATCAGAGAGCTCAGGGCGATCCGCCTCGCCTGCCAAGCCTTTCTTCCTCACTTGCGGGGCCACTGCATAGCAGTCCTAACGGACAACACCACAGCCATGTCTCCCTGAACAAGCAAGGCGGAGCCCAGTCATCCCCGCTCTGCCAGGAAGCTCTCTTTCTGTGGGACTTCTGCTTAGAATCATAGAATCATAGAATCATAGAATC